TGAGAGATATAGGCTCTGTTCTTGCTTATGGGTTCATTCATCAGGTAGAGTCAAGAGTAAATCCTCAGGCCCAGGGGTGTGACTGGCATAGCAAGCAGCAAGTCTTTGTCCTGCCACCTTCTCCAGCTCTTGGCCCTGCAGGGAAACCTGTGATTTCTCAGGTAAGCCTTAATCAAGGACTGCAATTTTGGCCAAATGCCTTTCTAACTTGTCACAGAGCTTATACTAACTGTCATTTGTAACTTAGTGCTCATGGGAAAATATGTTCTAAGTTCCCAACAATTTACAAGTGCATTTTTGGATAGCAACTTCTTTAGATCATGGAGGGCCAATATTTATAGATCTCTTCTCAACATTCCAACTGTCTGCTTTTTACTGACACACTGTATAGTTCATTTTTTCACTTATGTAGATCGTTTTTTCTGTAATAAGTGCTAGTTGCTGTATAGTGGTTTCAGAACATTTTGCATATATAAATGAAAACCTTGAGAGGTCATTTTTAATGTAAATCACTAACAATTCAAAGGGTGGAACATTTTAGTTTTCAGTGTTTAATATGCTGTCTTCTATTTATTGGAAAATACTCATTTTGAAATACTGAGAGACTGGTGAGAGAAGACAATGCTTTCCATGATGACTTGCCAGGAAATATTTTTGTTCTTTTGTAGCATTCTTTAGTATCAAATAAAAGAGAATGGCATACTGGGCACTTCCTTAGAATTGTCCTATGGAAGCTCAACAAATACTGGCCAAAGACTGAAAGGTACGTTGATGTTTTTAACCAGCTCATAACTATCAAATCCTTCTTCAGGTTTTATAAAAATGATTGATCAAACTTTTATTGAATGCCCACTCTGCTCTTAGCACTGATTGAGGTTGAGTGAAATACATTGTCTGTCCTTAAGGAACTGACAATTTACTAGATATGATTCATTGTTATGAAGAAATTCTCTTTAATGCCTATTAGCTCTAGAAATGAAAGAAGATAATCATATAAAGTGCTTAGCCAAAATGCTTGGCATGCAATCCAGTGTTCCATAAAACTTAACTGTTATTGTCATTGTTATAAAAAATTGCAAAAGAAATACAATGATCTACTTTGTTGTCTTTTAGTCACCTTTTGGGTGATGCCTATAAAGTAATGTTAATTATTACAGAAGTCTATAAATGCCTCCCCAAGTGTTTGGTGACTACAGCATCACTTTTCTACCCAGGAAGCAGGGATAAAAATAAACAATCACTTCCCCTAGGTAACAACGTTGATTTTGCAATTCAGATTTTACGTTTCACTGCCTTCTTAACAACTCTGCCAATATATTCATCTTATCTGGCTTATGGGACACAGGTTTGAAATTTTGTACAACCTTCCTCTACCTTTTTGCCTGCTTTAGCTGAGTTATTTACTGCATATTTAAAAGGAGAATGGACTCAGGATTCAGATCCTCAGGATGTTGTTTTACTTAAATTTTTGCAGCTTAGGGGCATGCATTTACTGGAAAAAATGGACAATTGTAGCTTAATGCTGAGGCCCGGATGAAGGCAGAAAATTAACAGTGTTGCTTACCAGAAGACCCTGTTGTTCCTGAATTTTCTGTGTCAGGAAGGCCAGGGACAGGATGGCTCAGAGGGCTGGGAGGAAAGGGTGCTGACATTTTGGAGGACAGCTATGTTATGAGAATAATTCCATCCTGTTTAAAAATTTCCTAGCAATAACACCCTAGGACACTGGCCACTGACTGACCCCTCAAATGGACAGGACATGACCTCATGAATGGCTTTCTACAAAGGACCACACTTGAATCCCAGCCCTCTCGCCATGTGGCAACCACTGGCTGCTTCCTCCTTGGCTTGCATCAGTTGGGGTTTGCAACAACACGTCAGGGCCTGTTGTATGGCCACATGGGGTACATTTGCCACTATCATTTCCATTATTTAGGGCAGTCGTGTATCCTGAATCTCAGGTCCGTCTCAACTGCAGTAGGCTTGGGACTTTTCATAAACTACACTTCAGTGGCAGAAAAATCATACTTTCCAGACTCCTTTGGGCTAGCCCTATCACAAATCAGAGACCCTGTTGACCTTTTCCTCTAGCATAGAAACTTCTTGATTAAATATTGTTTTTTTTTTTCTTTTTGCTCCATAGGAGGATGGAAAACTTTGCCTCCCTCATGCATGCTCAAGAGTACCATTGCTTAACAAAGGAAACAAAGGAGCACTGATGACTCACAAAGAGGTAAAGCTGGATTTACAGAAGGATAAGTGTTCACAGGGAGGATCTTTATAAGAGTCTTTAAGATAAGGAGAAGGCTGGAAGGTTTCTGATGTGTATGAGTGCTCTCTGTGGATACATCTGTAGAGCTGGCGAGACACATATCTTGTGGGAAACCACCTCAGACTGGAAGCCAGGAGCTCTGGTGCTGGTCTACAGTCTTGGAGTCAGAAAACCACTGGTCCCCTGCACCTCTTCCTCATGAAAGAGACAATGGCTGACTCAAATCTAGGGTCTCTTTAAGAGCTGAGGATCAGGGTAATTTTCTCAAGTGGTCTGCCTCACTGCTGGGTCATGCCCTTTTCAGTGTGTATGAAGATGTCACATGCATGTCTCTTCATGGTTATCATGCTGAGTGGGCACGGTGACTGTCGATGTGACTTCCGCCCTCAGAACTCTGCACTGGGGTCTAAGTCCCAGGAGTAACTCAGTGTCAGCACATAGTAGACATCTGATGAATATTTGTGAGAGCGAGGAAAAGGAGAGAGGGGAGGGAAGGAGAACGAAAGGAGGAAAAAAGAAAAAAGTGGAAGGACCTAAGGAAGGAGAAAGGAGGGAAAAATGAAGGGTGTCTGTTATTCTTCCCTTCAAATCTTCCTACATCAAATATGGGAGCTGCTGTCCATACGAGGTCTCTTTTGACTTCCCATTTCTTGACTTCCATACCCTCAATCCAATTTTCTCTTTCCTATGTTTTAAGTTTTAGTGTCTCTTGTTATAAAAGACTGATTGTCCTAATGTGTGTAATTTTAATGACCCTTTCAAGAAACATGGACATCTTAATCTGGATTTCCCAATATTTGAAAATGAGAATCAGGGCCTCTAGGGCAGACACTTATATAAGGTATCTATTTGAGATTGTGGGTGCTAAATTGACTTATTGTAGGAATCACAATCGGGAGATATATAGAACCCCTCAACCCAGGTCACACAAGGAACTTCCCATTTTGAGTGCTTAGAGGGCCCATATTCTGAAAGAGCTTTGCTTTTACCCATTTGGGCAGAGACCTCTCCTCATGTGCAAGAGGGTAGGGCAGCAGGGTGAGCCCCTATGACTCTAGTGGAAGGGGCCTGTCACTTCTAGGTCAAGGCAGTGCCACACGAGTGTCCATCCTGCCCTCAACCCTCCTCAGTGGTATGGCAGGACACTCCACAGAGAGACACTTTCAGATGTCAGGGGTTGATTTTCCATTGGTGAGAAATAGGCCTTTATTGTGTTAGGGTACTGGGATTTGGGGATTTGCCTTGTTGGAAGTTCCCAGATCAATACACACTTTGCTAGAAACCAAAGAAATAACTAAAACATTTAGCAAGATTTGTAATGTTTTGGATGATAAATTCCAGCTAACAGAAGGCAGGTGTTAATTTGCATGTTTGTTTGTTTATTTATTTTTACAGGGAGGGCAATATTTCTTCTCCATTTTAAAATGAATGTCAAAGTTGGAAACATCAGGAGGAAGGAGTTTCTGGAAGTATGATATTGGATCAAGTTTAAATAGTTTGCAGTAATACCAATAGTATAGTCACTTCATTGCACACATGGTATGTCATACTTAAAAATAAAATGTTTTTTTCTTTTAAATCTGTAAAAGATGATAGAGGCTAACATAGCAGTAATCATTACACAATATAATTCAAACATTTTTGCAATCTACCTTAAACTTACACAGTCATATATGTTAATTATATCTCAATAAAACTGGGTTAAAAGGAAAAACATACATTTCTACAAGTATTACTGCTGGGTGAAGCATTTACATATTTTTAAAATTTAAAATAATATTGACAACTTGTCTTCTAGAAAATGTGAATCTACTTAAGACAGCAGAAAAGTACTAGATCTTATTAGGTGAATAATATAGTCTTATAGTGTGACTTTGATTTATGTTTGACACAAATGAGACTGAACTTTATTTGTGTGTATATTGACTGTATATTTCTTCACTTTTGAAAATCCTTTTAAGTGTTTTTTTCATTTTATTTATTTTAAAAAAAGGATCAATGTTTTTTCTTATTTCCCTTCATCCTATAAATGTGTGTTGAGTGGCATGTAAATAGAATGTATTAGTATGAATCTTGATCACCACTGACAGTTCTATTTTAAGTTGAAAAATAAGATAGATAAGGGAAAAAAATCAGATATCTAAATGTAACTGTCATTTGTCCTTAACTCTTTTCTCCCCCTTGCTACCCTGATATATCTTACCACGTGGGGATAAAAGTTCTGTATTTGGATTTAAGGGTATAGATCCCCAGCAACAAGAGATTTGGGCCATAACTCTACTTTTGTTGTTTTTCCTGCTGACATCACCCAGCCAAGTTCCACACACTTACATGTAATTTAAGTTTCACTTATATAATATATAACATCCAAATGTGTGCAGTGTTGGGCCATTCATGGGCAAGCTCAGTGTACCCTCCTGGAGCTTTTTCTAAGAATGTTCACTGTGTGTTAAGATGTGGGAACAGACTTAAGGAACTCAGCTGGCATGTAATTGTAAACATTCACACTGTATCAAAATATAATAAAAATATTATGGATTAAAAACACAAATACTTTGCATGAAAGTTGAAATGAGAGCATTGATTTCAGTGACAATATTTTGCTTGCCATCAGCCCTCTTAGAGTTCTGACCCGAGTTCTGAGGCTCTCCATTCATTGTTCTTTGTTGTTAGGGTTACTTTAATGGAAGTATTTCGAGATATTCTGAATGTTAGGAGGGTTTCAGATGTCCCCGTTCAGATTCACATCTTGGTAATATTTGCCTTTGTAAATAGAAAGCTTTAGAAGAAAAGATGTGGGGTGTGTGTGTGTGTGTGTGTGTGTGTGTGTGTATAAAACTATAGATTTACATGTAAAAACTTAAATACTGAAGATTTAAAAATTAATGGTAATTATCACAGATGTGATAAAATGATCATTGCAATTGGTCAAATGAGCTGTAAGGCCAGAGGAAAAAGTGACTTTCTTTGGAATAAGATGCCCTCTGTTTGTGAACCACTTTAACTTAGGGAATGTCTGTTTGGTTTTCTACAAGTAACTTTGGGATATAAAGGGTTTGAGGTCTGTACTTCATGACTGAAGGAGCAGGTTTGTTTCCTGGGAAGATATTTTTATGCAGTCAAAGGCAAACAGCATCTTTGCTGAAGATGTGTGTTTTGTTCTCCCTTATTCCAACTCCCACCCCTTCAGGAATCTTGGTGACACAAACTCCTTGACCCCACAGGGGTGGAGACTGGGTGAGAGGGTGAGCCACCTCTGGGTCCATTCAGGGCACTACATCAGACTCTTGACTGCTGAACAATGTTACTAAAAAATGCCTTATGTTTAGAGGACAACAGTTAACAAAGTAGTTTGATATAATTTAGAAACAGAATTTTAGACTTGAAAGGAACATTAAAGATCTTTTAATATTAATACAAGGAGCCATATTACATTCACTTTGGAAATGGAGGCAGTGAGGTCCAGAGGATTAGGGGGACTTTCCCATACTCACACAGCAGCACAGTGTGACTGGGACTGGGATTGAGACCTTCTGAGTCCAGTGGATGGTCCTGCTAACTCCCCATGAGACCCCTTTATAGCCACACATGTAAATGTGTCTTCCTGCAGGGGCTGTAGCAAAGAGGTAGCCTGTATAGCTGGTTGCCTGGCTGGTGGTGTCAGTCTCTCCAACAACCCTTGAGGTAGGAAAGTCAGGTCACTCAGATAATTTAGGGAATCTCTAAAAGGAAATTGAGGCTCAATAAACAAGAACATCTCATTCAAGTCATAGCACTGGTAAGTGAAAAAACTGGGCCTGCAGTTGCCTCTGCCTTGAGATCTTTCTACCCATATGTGCCTTGGCCACAGTTATGGCTGCCCAGTTTCTGCTGACCATGATGAGGGCAGCTGGAAACCTTTCATAAAACTGAAGGAAAATATCATTATAGACAACCGGGTGGAGAATTAGAAAAGAAATAATTATGGTCATCTGTTATTCAGATAATGAAAAAGCAATTTTCTTTGCATTGTTGGGGCAAGGATAGTAGATTTTGCAATAGACTTTGCAGAAGGAAAGAAAGATTTTGTCAGTTGTCACCTTTGGCCCACTCTCTTGCCATCTGTTGACTGTAAGAAAAAATTGTCTGAAGATGAGGATTAATGTAGTAGCTGATTCCCTTCTGTACTTTTTGGATGAAATGTGATCATTCTGTTTCACATTCCTTCTTCTCACCTGCTCTGGAAAGCAAATTGAATTCTTTGAAAGAAAATTCAGTCCAGACCAGAACACACAGAGAACCAGTTTCTACCATCCCTCTTCAAATATAAGGGGCTCCTCTTAGCCGCAAATGCTTCTCTTCTGGCTTGTTTACATTGCACGGTTTATTCCATTAAGGTTCAATTTCAGGTGTTTGGTGAAACCCAGATGGTTGGAGACTGGCTTCTCTGAAGAATATAAGCACCCACTAGTAAACAATTTCTTAGACTAACTTCCTCAAAGATTTGTGTTAGAATTCACTGGACATTCCATGGATGGAGAGCTTGCTAACCTCAACCTTTCAATCTGCTGGATGTTCCTCCAGGCCCAACCTATCTGATTATAGTACTATCCCCAACCCTTGCTTCTCCCTCTACTTCTCTCCATTTTCAAGCTCCTGACTTGGGGCTCAGGCTGTACTTGCTTGGGAACACAACAAATGGAATGTTTTCCAAATAATTGCTCTCCCCCTTTTATGGTTCTTTGCCCAAGGTTTTCTCTTAACTTCTTTTATATACACAAGCACATAACTGATACTATATTCTTTATAAACACCTAGTTACAGGATGTTGAAATACCAGAGACTAATAGATTTCATTTTGTAGTTGAGCAAATTGAGACCCAGGAAATTTAATCATGTGTCTAAAGATTCCAACCAATGAATGTGGGAGCAGAGGGGATACCCCAGTGTGATTCAGCTGAGAACCAGCTCATGCTACAGTCCTCCTTCCTTGAAGGACAGATTCAAGTTCCTCTCCGCTGTGACTCTAAACTACTTGAAAATCTTTATTTTTTTTTTAATGATTTTATCTATGCATACAAGAGCTGGGGTGAGGCCAGAGGTGCGGGGGGTTAGAGGATTCACCAGAGACAGAGTGGGGAACAGAACAGGCAGACTGACTGATATACACTGCTGAGGGGAGCAGCAGGTGAGACAGGAGAGGTCTGCTGAGCCATGTGGGTCAGCTCCCTGGCCGGGGATTGAACTCGTGCTGCAGTGGCTGAAGATTGGTTTGTAGTGCTGAGACTTAACCTCTTGTGCCACCAGGGAGGCCCCTGAACTTCTCCATTTTTGAATTACTTTCCATCTACAATCCACATCATAAAAATTCATGCTGAATTGTTCTTGTGTAGTTTGGGAATACTGGTTTTCTCTTCTCAGCCAATTAGGAAAGGCATCTGACCACTCACTTCTGCGTTCAGGGTAAAGCAAAAGTAATACGTATAACAAACAAATGCTGGTTGGTTGATTCATTGATTAATTAACATTCATACCTTGGCTGTTGTAGCCACTTTAAATCTACTGAGATTATGCTGTACTGTGTGGGTCCTAGCAGAATTTGTGGCTTCTGTAATCTAATTGTAAATGATAACTAAACTGTCAATTTTAATAGGTCCTTCGTAGGCCACCTGGGGATGACTGTTGCATGATCTTCCCTCTCTCTCCCCTGCTCACTATTATCACTTGTTCCAGGTCCTTAAAACTAGCTGCAGCCTGCCCAGCTTGTCATATGAAACATGCTTCTTACTCTATACTCTCAGATACTCTTTTCACTTACCTGTCCTTGAAAGGTCTGCTCCATGACACCTCTTCTGCAGGCAAAATCATTTATTTCCTATTTGCTCCCTTATTTCCACAATGCAGGCTTGCCTTTTGTGGCTTATGGTCATTTGTTGGACATCTTCTCCTCCACCAGGCCTGGGAACTCCTACAGAGCTATGGGCCTGTCTTCTGCATCTTTACACTTTCTGTGACCCAGGTTCTGCTATGGGTCAGAACTGAGGTGCTCTAAATTAATTGTTGAATGAATTGCATTGTTAGATGTGGTAGCAGGGTGAAAATTGAAAGAACGAGTCTGGAAAGAATGGCTGACTGGGCCCTAGTAAGTGCTAAGTACTCACTGCCCATAGACCACAGCATTTTCTAGAAGTTTATGTGATGGTCCTTTAAATTAGAAGACCCAAGCCAGGGCCTCCCTGGTGGCACAAGTGGTTAAGCACAGCGCTGTGAAGCTGTCCGCAGCCTCTGAGCACAGGTTCGATCCCCTGCTAGCCAGGGAGCTGCCCACATGGCGCAGCAGACCTCTCCTGTCTCGCCCGCTGCTCCCCTCAGCAGTGTATTTCATCAGTCTGCCTGTTCTGTTCCCTACTCTGTCTCTGGTGAATCCTCTCACCCCCCAATACCTCTGGCCTGTACCCCACTTAAAAAAAAAGACCCAAGCCATTTAGCATTGAACTTTCCATCTAAGGGGGAAACCAAGTGTGGGGTGGATTAAACACAATGCTAAGGAAACTTCAACTGTAGGGACCTCACATGCCCAGGCCCTTTCTATGGTCCTATATTTAATTTTTTTTTTTAAGATTTATTTATTTATTTATTTATACAAGTACTGGGTACAGTCAGAAGCATGGGAAGGTGAGAGTATTCACCAGAGCCAGAGAAGAGAGCAGAATAGGCAGACTGATGAAGTACACTGCTAAGGGGAGCAGCGGGCGCAGCAGGAGAGGTCTGCACACCATGTGGCACCCTCTCTGGCAGCGGCGAGGGATTGAACCAGTGCTGCAGAGACTGCGGGCAGCTTCGCAACCCAACGCTCAACTGCTGCATCACCAGGGGAGGCCCCTATATTTAATTTTGAACTTGTAATTTTGAATTTTCCTTAAGAAGAACTCTTAAAACATAGAACACATAATCCAGCAATTTCACCACTAAGAATCTACCCAAAGGACACAAAAGCACTCATTCAAAAGGAAACCTGCACTTCTGTTTATAGTAGCACTATTTATAGTAGTTAAGATATGGAAACAACCTAAATGTCCCAGAACAGATGAATGGATTAAGAAAATGTGGTAGCTACACATGATGGAATACTACTCAGCAATCTTAAAAAGTTAAACTTATGTCATTTGAAGCAACATGAATGGAGCTGGAAGGGATTATGCTCAACAAAACAAGTCAGAAGGAAAAAGAAAAATATGGGGTGTTTTCACTTATGTGTAGAATATAGAGAAACAAAACAAAGGGTCAGGAAAAAGACAATCTGGAAAGCTGACCAGAGACATGAAGTCTATTGTAGGGAGGGGAGAAAGGAGGAGGGAAGGGTCAAAACAGGGGAGAAAGAGCACAAGAGACTATGGTGACAGGTCACAGCTGCTATGGTGATGAGAGAATTGCAGGAACTACACCTGAGGGGAGAAATCAGATATTATCCAAAAATTAACAATGATGTAAGACAAAAAATACTTAAAATAACATATATACATATATATATATAACTTATTTATATATACGTATATATATAAAACATATATATATATAAAACTTCAGGCCCATGTGAGTAGGGTCTGCTCCCAGCCTATGACTGCTGCTGGGATCTGTCCCCAGGAGAGGCACGGGACCACCACATCACTCCCCAGAGTTTTGACCGGACTGGGCTAGGCCAGCCAATTAAGTTGGAATTGTCCTGACATCCGGCAAATTTCTTCAGTTGATGAGCTAATTGGTCTTTCTGGC